GATATGCAAGAATTGTGTAGTGGATTGGTCTTTATGAGAACCTCTCTCGATTATCCTTTTAACTAGATTTAATCAACAATTCAACTAGCCTCTTTTGATTACTAGTAAGAATTAATGAAGTCAACCGACAAAGTAATTCAAAGAAATCACAGGTTATGCCTCTCTCGATTACATTAACAAGTGAATATAGATGCAAAGATTAAAACATCCCAAACGATTCAATACATAAAACTAGAGTTATAATCCATAAACAAATATCAATACACCAAATCTATCAAACCCTAAAGAGAACTACTCCATAGACATGGAGAAATTCATCACCAATATATTTAAAGTATATAAAAACATAAAACGATCCAAACTCGTGTCTTGAGTGAGGATTGAATTATGAATTCCTTATGCTTTTTCTTCTACAACTCCTTCTTAGCTTCCTTAGGTCTAAATTATGTCCAAAAGTCTATGAAATAACGTTTTTCCATATATTTATACCAAGTAGGGCCGGGCAAAGACGAAACCACCTTCTCCTAGCGAAGATAGGATTTTCACTTAGTAAAATTTGCACAGGCCACCGCATTGGGCGACTCGCTATGCGGGGCAGCAGTGAAGATCTTAAAAGCCTTCACAATTTAAAACAAGCAGCTTTTGTACAGCCATAGGGCCCCACGTGTCGCGGCACTAGGCATTTCTCATAGTACATAATTTTTCTTGATTTTTGATATCCAACTGTGGTTCTCGACCCCCTAACACAATCCCAGCTTAATCCCTTGGGCTTTTACTCAGACTTCAAAGCTCCAAATAGTTTGAATTAGCTCCGTAATATCTACATCACTCAGAATCACACCTACAAGACATAAAATACAATATAAGTACAAAACACTAATGATTAAAGCTCAAACACAATTAAAGTGCAGTGAATGAGAATGCAATAAGCGACTAAAATACGAGATTATAGCCTACCATCAATAGCACTTTTAAAGAAATTGTCTGGAGCTGGGGTTGATCAAGATTAACTAAGAACCCGGTCCCTCGATGATGGGCTATGAAAGGATAGAAAGGTACAATAATAAAAAGTATTTTCTGGTGACATCTAACTCAACTCTATACTATTACAGGTAGACACACATGGCAGATCTAGGACAAACACGTGACAAATGACACTGCACATATCTAGAAGTTGTTGCTCACATTTTCAGAAATTTGTCAAGGAACCTGGTTCTTATGACTCAGGTTAGTAGTTTTTTTAGACTTGCACGCATTTTGAACTGCTTAAGTGCCACATTATTATTTTGTTCCCGCCTCTTCTGTTGCCCTTTAAGCTCAAACATTACAATCATTCTAAATCGACCCGATGACCGGTCTCCTATCTAGCACCCATTTGTAGCCGATCCCCTTTTACTTTATATACCAAGAGTCAATCTCTCTCCTCACTTCACACATCGAATAGAACATCCCCTTTCCATCAAACCCTCTTCTTCTTGTCTTATTACATCCAAAATCGATCATGTTTCAACAAACCACTCCACTCCTAAAATAACAGAAGCCAACCCAGCCTCGTATCCATCTAAAACGACACACTTCTATCTGGATCTGAGCTAGACTCTTCGCCCACAAAAGCCCCAATTTACAACTAACCCAACCCCACATCCACTTATCCTAAACCATCTAGTTCTGGTACCCATGGCAATTATAAAAATTAAACTCCCAAAAAAGTTTATTTCTTCTCCATCTCCATCTGCTCCTGCTGAAAGAGTGGACTCTATACAAACAATTTTCACCTCTTAATTTATTCAAACCACAAAAGAAATTATGGAAGGGGATGAAGGTGTCGAGGTCTCGAGTCAGCGTGTTACGACAGAGAAAGTAAGTTTGAACGAAGAGTTGGGTTCCCGTGTTGCTGAGGGCTCATATGCATCTGAAATTTATAAGGTTCAAGGCATTGAAGGGATTGTTCTGAGTATCTTCTCTGCATCAGATAATCTTCCACTCACTTCTATTGTTACAGAAGTTTTGGGTGCGGAGGGTGAGAAAAATGTGAGTGACACACTTAAAGAAGGCTCTACTTCTCTTGAAAAAGAGCTGGTTACTATGGAGAAATTGGTTGAAGAGTCTATGACTGATGATGTTGATGCAGAGTCTCAGGGGGAACCACTGAGTCAAACGGAAAAATATGGTAAAGGGGAACATGTGCGTCAAGGGGAACACATGCGTGTCAGTACTACATGGGAACCTACAAAGGGACCTCGTTCCTCTGTCCAAGGAAAGTTTTCTGCTCCTACTTGGGATGAAACTCCAAGTTCTACAAGATAACCACTGGATAGTGCTGAAACAACCCCATTTGATCACCCTATTACTGTTCCGTTGGATATTATTTACCCATAAATAAGGTCTATGTTTGAGGGTAGTTCTGGTGAGAGTGAGGATGATATTGATGATCTACCTGTGATAAGCTTTATAACTTCGCACTTCTTTAAACCCTTGTTCCTCCAAAAGCCCAAGGGTGATATTTTATGAGTTGGAAAGAGGGGCAAATCTTAAGAAACAAAAGGTTTTGTGGGGTCGAATTTTTTATCTTGAAATCCTTGAACAACAAGGCATGAAATAACTGGCAGAAATATTTTAGTTCAAGAAGTGGGCCCATCTCTTTGACATCAAAAGTCCAAAACATTTATGAAGATGAGGTGAGAAGTTTCTATTTGAACTATTCGTGGTGGATCGGGATACACTTTATTTGAAAGCAAATGGAAAAAACTTTGTTATGGATGAAGAAACTCTTAGTGAGATCCTTGATGTCCCCACTGCTGGGCTGAAAACTGTGGAGGGAACTAGTTCCCCTGATTTTACAAAGTTTATCATCAAGAAACAAGCAGTTATGTTGGGGAAAACTCTTCAGCTAGAGTACCAACTGTTGTTTGAGCTGATGAACAAGGTGTTGTTTCCTAGGACTGAGAGACGATCTATCACCTTCATTGGGGACCTGGTTCTTCTGGAAGCACGAGACTCCTTCTCTTCTATTAGTCTGCTTGACATTATGATTGAACATGTGCTGAAGGTGGCAGACTTCAACGATGGTAATCTGGTCTTCCCTATGGCTTTCTCCTTACTAGAGTCTTTGAACACTTTGAGGTTCCTTTGGGAAAAGCATTTGTGGGAATTACAAAGCAAATGTTCACCATGAATAATTTGGAACAGTGTGAGTCTGTAGTGAAGAAGGGAGGAGTAGGAAGAAACTCAACTATTTCTCAACCGATCGATGCTGATGAGGCTGCTAATGAAGAGATAAAGCGTCTTAAAGCGCAAAATGCCATTCTGAAGTCTAAGCTTACTCAGGCCAGCAAGGAACCTGGTTCCAACAACGGTCAAGATGAAGAGACTTTCCGTTTGAAGGATAAGAATGCTGAGTTGAGGAAACAAGTTGAGAACATGAAGGAGCAGTTGATCAATGATCAAAGAGCTGCTAATGCTCGAATAGATAGTCTATCAAGGCTCTTTCTTCGTAATCCTTCTAGACCCCTATCCAGTGTCTCCTGTTTTTGCATCCCCTCCCAATCCTCTCTTAATCCTGTCCTTTTGTGATTCTATTTTATGATTGTGGTACTTTAGCTTTTTGATTTGTAATATTTGTGTAAATGTGGTACTGCTACTCCTATGTTTTATTTTCTCTCTCTTATAATTATTGGGCATGACTATCTATTTTACGCAATGTTAATCTCTTGTATTTTTTTTTACCTATATTGTGTGCACACAAGTGGCATGAGTTAATATTGCTGGACTTTTTTTAAGTATGCATGTCTTATTTTCTTAATGATGCCAAAAGGAGGAAGAAAATTAAAGGGGCGGGAAACTGATTCTTAGGGGGAAGGCATCTGATTTGTAGGGGGACATGTGGAAATCTGGTTCTCAAAAGGAATATCAATTCAAAGTTTGTTATCATCAAAAAAGGAAAAATTGATAAGTTATGCAAGTATGATTTTGATGATTTGTCAAACTTCATGGAAGAACCAGATAAGAACCTGATACAATCAATTCCCTTGTGCTCACTACAACATACTCTATTGTCTGGTTTAATTCTCAAGGAAATCAGATAAGGGAACTGCAAAGGGAACGGATAGGATCAGGTCCTCATGTCGTCGCACAAGTCAACTCAACAACTATTAAAGCTGTTTCACTGTGCTTGCAACAGTACAACAACACAACTGCAATTTGCTAGAAACCGGAAATGCCCTTGTATCTACTCTCATGATCTAACATATACAAACAACATGATACAAGGTTTTGACCTAACACTTGCAAATACAAAAACATATATTCTCTCACATGTGCAACCTCTGTTTCTTTAGGTGTATTGAAGAACAAAGCTGCTACAAAACAAAGGACCAGATCCCAGTATTGGATATGTCTTGTGTCCTTTAGTTTGTTATGCCTTTGTCTTTTGTTATTTACTTGTATTCCCATACAACTTTTTAGAAGCATTTAGTAGGACATCATTTAACCATTATTACTTTTGGTCGTTTGACTAGAGTTAGTCAAGAGTAGAGTTACTACAAAGAGCTTATAATGGAGTATTGTAAAAGGTGAGGGATTGAGAGTTTAATTCCTAGATTGCAATAGGTTGTAATATGAAGTTTACTCAATAGTGAAGTTAAAATCCTACTAGGGTAGGTCGTGATTTTTAATCCCGTGAGTAGTGAGTTTTTCACATAAATATATGTTCTTTATTTACTGCTATTTATTGTGGGAACTAATAGTGAACCTGATTTTCTGTACTGTTTGGTGGGCCATTAGTTTCTATCGGTTACCTTTACCTTAAGTCCTTAACTCGGCATGGTGTATTAAACAAATATACTGAACAACACTGACGGTATTCTGCCAAGGATAAGTATTACAGATCCATAAAACCTTTTGATTCCAAAGCTACTTTATTAGATTGTACCATATTATAGAATTTTTCCAAATGATATTTACACGCTGAAAGTTAACTGATGACTTTTCAAGAATCTCTCTATCTAAACTAGTTGAAAATTATATTACCTTTGGGATTATAATCATAGGAGATTAGCCACATAATTTAGCACATAATTACTACTGTAATATATGGTTTATATACTTTACTAGTTCAATGATATTGTTTTAAGGAAATTTACTTTACTAGCAAAACTTCACTTTACATATACTATATAGTCTTATCAGCCTAGCATATGTTGGGGCCAAATCCCACGAAACCATTTGCCCCATCAATAGAAATTTGGATGCCTTCTTGCTGGATATTCCCAATAATGGAAAGTCTAGTAGGAGATGGAGCGAACGCAAAGCAGAATGTGCCCCTTTCGTCCACTGGAATCAGGAAGTTCCTAGCTGGGAGGGTTAGAATTGGACCACCCATGAGGAAAAACGAAACGGTTGGTACCCGAACCGTCACAAACCCGTTTAGATCGTAGCATGTGTCGAATATTGACATGGCAGGTGCCCGTGGAAGGCTAGCAGTTTGGGCAATGAATGCATTACGGAACGCCTCGTAGACCGCTGTCGGAAGCCTTGTCACGGCTGTCCCTGTGTCCATCACCACTCCACCATCTCCTACCTCAGTCAACCTGAAAATATCTTCAGATATTGCTACACGTGCTCCTCCAACTCCAAGACCCGACAAGCCAATATAATAGAAACTAGGGGCCCGTGGGTTTCGGATCAATGGTACCCACGCTGCACCCATGGGTAGTATTTCACGCCCGAATTCAAGTGATCCGGTTGATCCGGTGCCCCGACTAACCAAACAGTAACTAAATGCACCGCCCGTTTGTCCACCGAGTTGTCCCAGGAGTGACATGGACCCACCTCCAAGACCTAACAAACCAGCAGCCCCAATAAACATTCCACCGTTATGGTGACCGCAACCAATTGCTACGTCCCGAACCACGGTGCGACCAAAAGTGAGCGTCTCAAGGGCCATGGTCCCCTTCGTGTACGATCCGTCGCCATACATGACTTCATATTTGCAGCGACCTGCGTGGCAGCCCGAGTTCTCGACCTGTTCACAGAGGGATGAGGTACATGGTACCCCAGAAAAAGAAGCGGAAAGAGACGGGTCAAATACCGGGTCGGACTGGTGGTAGCACTGGGTACAAGGCTGGCACTGGACCCACACAATATCACTGCCAGCATCAATGACCATGTATTGCTCTCTAACAGGACTGCCCACACCAATCCTCACGAAGTATTCTCCACTTCCTTGCTCCATGCCCGAAATCACCTCACTCCCGAATTCCTCCACCTCATAAACTTTATTATTGTTATTATTATTATTATTATTATTATTATTATTATTATTATTATTATTATTATTATTATTATTATTATTATGATTATTATTGGTGGCAGCAGCTTTGCCTCCTGTTATTTTGTGAATGAGTGTATCCACCCTTTTGACGTCTCTTTTCATGCGAGCTTCGAGACGGTGAGGATGATCAGTGAAGTGGGAAAAAGGCAGTTTGTCTCTGTGAAGAAGCTTGAGTTTCCAGGGAAACTCCTCTTCTTCTTCTTCTTCTTTTGCCACACCCTGTGTTTTAGATGGTGGTGGGTGGATTCTTGTAGATTCTTTAATGGTTTGTTTGACATTAAAGTGTTCGTGGCTGGGAAATGGGATTGCATGGCCAGCTGAGGTTTTTGTTTCAGTTGCGGTTGTAGTGTTGGTAATGGAGAAAATGAACACTGCAAGGAGCAGAATTGCGACTCGTGTTTGTACGGGAACAAACATTCTTGTTTGGGTTTATAGTTTCTAAGGTTTCTTTCTCTGCTCTTCGAAGTTTGGGAGGTGTGTTTGTGAGGAAAAAGGATTCTTGGGAAAGGGGGGATTTATGTACTTTGGCTTCTGAGAAACTGTACAGGAAAAGGTAATTTAAAAGTGGGGCTAGTTTGGGAAGGGGATTATGGAGAACAAAGTTTGGCCCATTTTTGGAGTGAGAGTGATGTTAGGTTGGGGGTGACTAGTGAGCGAGGAAATAATTGAATGATGGGGTTTCTTGTGTTTCTTGGAACCAACTACCCTTAGTTTCCTAAGTCTTTCTATTTCTCCAATTCGTTTCCTAAGTCTTTCTATTTCTCCAAGTTTTTACTTGTATTGGAGATACTTGTTATGGTTAAAAATCAAAAGATAAGATTTTATTGAATAAAATAAAACTCTAACCATGATTAAAATCTTCAATTCCTTCTTTTATTCATTCCAAATAATATCTTTTGCAATCTCACAATTATAGTTACACTTACACATTATTAAGATACCTTCTCTCTTTTTTGTATTCTTCCGTTTTAGTTTATGTAAACCTATTTTCTTTTTGGTCCGTTTTAAATATGAACGTTTTCTAAATTTGAAAATAATTTAGCTTAAGCTTCAAATTCTATCCTTAATAAGAAGTTTTTATAACCACACAAATACTCTGGTATGTTTATCACTACAAATTTCAAAAGAATTAGAGCCATACAAATGTTATGACTTGTTTAAGATCACAAATTTCAATTTTTTTTTTCTTAAATTTCGTGGCCAATCAAACAGATTTACAGAAATTAAAACAGAGGGAATAGTAATTTTCTTTCAGTGAGTTAATTTTTTTTTTCACTTCTACAAAATCTTCTTACATTCTTATTAAATATGAGGAATACTAGAAGTAGATTCCAACATTTTAACAATAAAAATTAAAGAACGGTACAAACCCATTTGGAGGCTCCACTTAAGTTGCCATTTCTCTATTATTTGCATATTTAGAACGGTGGAAAAAAAGATTCAATCTTCCAATATCTAGCAACCATTATAATCTATAATTTTAACTCCACTATATACCACCACACAACAATTTGAATAAGGCAATTTGTTACGCATCAATAGCTCAGAACACAGAAACAATAAAAGAACTGTCGAATCATTGTCAATATTTTCTTCTGGTCTCCTAGGAAAAAAGAAAGAAAAAACAAAGGAAAATCACATAGATTTATACAAGGGGAAACTTGAGCTAAAAGAGACAAACAATATAATTCGGGAATGGATAAAAGAAAGAATTTAATATTTTAACCATGGTTAGAATTTTATTTTATTCAATTAAATCTTGTCCACTGATTTTTAACCATGACTAGTATCTTCAATCCAAATAAGCTTGGAGAAATAAAAATACTAGAAAATGGATGGGAGTTGAATCCGTATTTCTTAGGTAGCCTTATACATGCTTTATTATGGGTGGAGCTCCTCTACATTTTTCATTATCTTCATTTTCTCAAGTTCTTACTTGAATAGGGGACATATGTCATTTTTAAAAACTAATGATTGAGATTTAATTAACCAATATAAGTGCTTACCGTGAAAATGGTAACAACAATTAAATTTGTAAATGAGACTCTAAAAATATGTGATCTATTTTTATGCTAGTTATTAGAACAGTTGATGTTAGGCATATGAAGTTTAATGATGAAATACGAGTTAAAACGGGGCAGTGATCAAACCGAGAGGCTTGCTACCCGAGCTTCGGACTGGTCGATGAAAAGGCCTCGGGGTCGATATCCGGCTCGAGCTCGAACTATCGGGGATAACCAAGAAGGGGATAACAGTTAAGATATAGTTAAAGAAGGCTCTTTACGACCAATACTAAGCAATAAATGAAGAACGAATATGAAAGCAATAAATGCAAAGAGTAGCCTCGAGTGAGTAAGTTAGAGAGAAGAAAGAAAGATATTATTGCTCTTGTGTAGAATATTTGGAGTTCTGCCTTACAGAGTGTTAACGACTCCCCTTTTATAAGAGGGGGAAGTCCAAACTTTAATGCAAGATATGTTGAGTGATAAAGGAAGCGGGATGGGACAACTAACTAGCTTCATGACGTATACATAGGCTAATGTTAGGCTGCCCAGGTAGACTTAATCGACTCCGGATGCACTCTTCGGAGGCCTCCTGTGCTCATCGGGGTTTCGGCCAATGTTATCCTCGGCTAGGTATCGACGGATCTTGAGGGAATTAACCGGCTCGAGGTTCCAAGCCTCCGAGGCGACCTTCTGAAGCACTTTATCAATGAGAAATTGGTCCTCCGATTTCACCGTACACAGATAGTCTCCGCGTTTCTTAGAGGGAAGCGATAAGAAATGATTTTGACATCCGACTTTATGGGCTCCATAATGACGTTGTGCTGATGGTGTAACCCTTTTACAAGTGCCGAAACATTTCACCTTTTTGCTTTTTCAGGGCTATTCAATGTGTCGTGACTCTTCGTTGTTTGGGGTCATAATGTTGCCGTCCATTCAACTTCCATGAATGCGTTAAATGCGCCTGTTGTTACGTTCTTCGAGGGAAATTATGGAGCCGTCAGTTACTTTGCCCTCCTCCTCTATAAATGGGGCTTCTTGTGATCAGTTTTTCACCCAAGCATCCTTCGATATCTATCCTTTCCCCCTTCCTTGCTATTTTGTTCTTTGCTGTCTCACCATGTTTGAGGCCCATGGCCTCAAGATATCATGTCAATATCATGCGTGCTACGGCCCGACTCCCGGACCTTCTCCAGTCGGGCGAAGTTGTGCTGCCGTGATGCTATTGTTATTGTTGTTATTGTCGTTGTTGCTGTCTCCATTAGCTCGAGGTGATGAAGCAGAGGACCGATTTTCTCAAACCCGAGGAGGTATTTGGATTATGCACCGCTGCTCAAGAGGGGGCTCGGATTATACACCGCTGCTCACCCTCCTTCCTCGGCTTGGCGTATTACACCACCTTTGGATTCCTGGGGGTATGGCGACACTCTCTGCTGGTTGTCGCCTCCCTGGCCGAGGCAACGTTTCAAGAAATGGCCTTATAATAGTATTACTGGCGGAGTTCACACTAGCCAGATTTTTCACCCAGCCACTTCTTGTCTACTTTCGGCTCTCCTTCGTCACTTTGCTCTTCTCCATCGCTTTCCTCTTCTATATCCTTCCTTTTGAAGATGCCATTCCGGGAGGGTCGAGATGAGGTTCCCGAGGGGATTTGACTTGGAAGATATTGTCTTTGAGGTCACACGCTTGAGGAGATGATGCCAAAGATGCCGCTATTGGGGATGCACTTTGGGAATAGGCTAGATTTTTAGACTTTTGTTGTATGCATACCCTTTAACCTTTCTGTTTCTCTGTGAGGATTCCCTTGCGGGCTTTTGTAATCATATGTAAGGACACCTCGAGGGCCGTTGTATATGAATATCTATGAATACAAAGATATTTTCTTGACTCCTGCCTTTGATACTTGCTGTACTTCTTTATGTTTACGGCAGCTCCAAATGCGCGATCCTGTTTGTCGTTGCTACTACTGGACCTGGATGTGAGTTTTTCTTTTGGCCTTTGGTCGAGAGAAATGGCTCCTTTCCGAGCTCATCGTTGTTGCCGGAATCAAGCCCGAATTGGTCCGGTAAACTTGGATCATCGGGGTCCTCGAGCCCCATGGAGATAGAGCACCGAAGTGAAAGTCGACTTCGGGCGCTTGGAGCTTATACTTTGAGCTTGACGTAGATAACCTTTTAAGGTGTTATAGGCAGGCTTCTAAGAAAGGGGCTATTCGTATTTAGGTGATTTTCTACGATCGAGCCCTTGTGATCGGGCTCGAAGTGCTTATTTTTTCTTCTCGAGGGAAAACTTTGAGGTCGGGTACCACCTCAGAATTGGAGACGATGTCGCTGACCTTATGTGGCCTAACTTCTTCTTGACGAAGATCTCTGGGGTCGGGCACCACCTCGGGATCAATTCCGAGGTCGTTGGCCTCCCGAGGCTTATCTTGGGTAGGCGAATTGTTGCTGTACCCGCATATACATAGGGCGACTCTTGCTTCTTTGGAAGATCCCATTATTTTAGATAGCCATCCTTCCGTCTTGGCATCGAGTCCTTCGTTACCTCAAGCGCAAAAAGTGTTGGCGTACATCCCTGCTTTAGTTTGCCAATTCTACTATAGTAATGACTGCTACTTCAGGGCCTGCCTGGCAGGGAGGGGAGAGTTCCCCTCCCAGTGCTCAGGATCTGCAGGAGTTTTACTCTGAAGACTATATCTTCAAGAAGAGAGGAACATCTGGAGATGGTGAGGAGAGACTGCGGATGGGGCGAGTGGGTAGCGTTGCAGGCACTTTCCCCCGATGAGAGTATTACGAACTCTGCTGATGGATTCCTGAACGTATACTTATACCCGTTTGCACTAGGCCCCCTTGATAGGGTCGTGCTTGATTTGTGTTTCGTGCTTTCTTAGATTCACTTATAGCGAAAACCAGTTTAGTAATTGTGTTTCTTCCTTTCCCGCAGCAACTTCGTGGACGCCAGGTGAAGTTTTCGATTTGCCCGGCTGGGTTCGGAGGTTGGCGACCCATTCGTCTTGCGACGAGCGTAGGTGGCGAGCTGTGTCCCAGGGCAGATAGGAAGCGAAATACCAAGGTATGTGTGTATGCTGCTTTTACTTGGGTCTTCGTATATTTGAGACGACATTTTCCTCTTTTCTTTGTATTGGCTTTGCCGTCGTAGGTATCAGACGGTCCCTTGGGGCGAGGCTATGTTCCTTCGGAGAGGGGGGATGAGTCATCGACCTCCGAGCCAAGGGACGATGGCGACAAACGGGATATGCACTCGCAGTGTAATGGAGCTTTTAGCGGGGATAAATGGGTCTGTATCTTCGAGGAGAGAACATCGTCCGAGCCTGCTGTTCCTAGAGTCTCTAGTTTCGAATCGGTGGTTCCTCCGAGTGATTCTGCCTCGACCGAGGTTGGTTCTTCCAGGGCTGAAGGGGCTGGACCAATAGGAGTGTGTTCGGCCTTCTAGGAAGTCCACCGACTTCACTTTGTGGTGAGTTTCGGCATAGCCCTTCTGCATCTCGCGTCTTCCCTTCCTTATCGTGTTTTTCTTCTGCAGGCCTTTGATAGGCTCAGAACTGAGATGCTCCATCATGGGGCTAG